CCCCCCCCCCCCCCCCCAAATCGCACCTCTGTCCCTTCTAGTTGTTTTAATTGTCAATCATATGGAGAGTAGAAGATCAGTTGAACAAAAAGTGAAAAGGTTATTAATATCCATTCTGAAAATTTATACCTTTAAACATTAGCATCTACCACGTCTACCGTGTCTGCACATGCCTGGTTCGTAGTAGACCCACTTGTAAATAATGGATTATCAGATTAAATGATAATCTCGCGGCGTTAAAGTAAATCGACTTTTCAAGTCTGTTTGGAGATAAAGTTATCGGTTGGCAAGGAAAAATAATTGAATGAAATCAGATCGTATTTATATATACTTATATAAATAATTGTTTCTTATATCGAGTGACCCAGAAATACTTAGTAATGTATAGAAGAATCATTTTTATTTTTGACAAGCCATTTTAAAAACGCTGCCATTTCAAACTATGTATAAGCTAATATTTTATGCAAAGATGTCTTTTATATCTCTTATTAAGAGGTCAAAATATAATGATCTTAGCTTTGATACTTTGATTGAAAAATCCTGAAATGAAGAATGTTCTCGTTTTTTAAGAGCCACCTGATAGCATGTCAAAAAAGCAGTATCAAGGCAACTTACCTCTTTCAACCTATTTTCAATGTGCCCCCCCCCATATTCTTCGACCACCAATCACAACCGTTTTCCATCCCAAGATTCCAACAAGACGGGGCCTCATCGCATACTATCAAGATATCGTAGGCATGTCTGGAGGAAGTTGCTATTGGTTGTCGAAGAAGATGAAATAGGTAAGTTGCCTTGATGTTGTATTTTGTGACATGCTACTTTCATATTTTTAAGGTTGGACAACAACATCTTGAAGTATATCAGTCAGAATTTTAAAAGAGATTAGTTTACCCACAGCTGAGACGAACTTTGGAACGTCTTTTTTTGAGAGACCCGATATACTAAAAGTTATCTTGAAAATAGTTATAACTCATTGGATATAAATATTCTACTTGCAATGTCTTCTACTTGAAGATTCTTCTATAGGTTTAGTAATGATTCTTTCATAGATTACTAAGTAATATAAGATTCTTTTATAGATGACTTAGTAATGATTTTTCTTCAGTTGACTTAGTAATGATTTTTCTTCAGTTCACTTAGTAATGATTTTTCTTCAGTTCACTTAGTAATGATTCTTATCTTCTTTAGGTATTTAATTAATGTTTCTCCTATAGTTATTTTTTAGTAATGATTCTTCTATAAATTGCTTAGAAACAATTCTTCTGTAAATTATCAAAGAATGACTCTTCTATACATTACAAAGTATTGATTCTTATATATATTACTAAGTAATGATTATATAGATAGATTTTTATATCTTAATACATAGACTACTAAGAAATGATTCTTAGATAGAAGTTATTTTGTAATGATTGTTTTATGACGACTTATTCTTCTTTAGATTACATAAGTAAGTAATAATTCATTTTGTTCATGTATAAGTAATGACTCTTCCATACATTAGCCTACTATACTATACAAAATGATTTTTCTATACATAAAGTTTGTATAATGATTCTTTCATAAATTACTAATTAATGATTCATCTATACATTATTAAGTAATGATTCAGCTTTATATTACTTAGTAATGATTCTTCTATACAAAACTTCGTAATGATTTTTCTATACATAAAGTTTGTATAATGATTCTTTCCTAAATTACTGATTAATGATTCATCTATACATTATTAAGTAATGATTCAGCTTCATATTACTTAGTAATGATTCTTCTATACAAAACTTCGTAATGATTTTTCTAAACATAAACTTTGTATAATGATTCTTTCCTAAATTACTGATTAATGATTCTTCTATACATTAATAAGTATTGATTCATCTTTATATTACTTAGTAATGATTCTTCAATACAAAACTTCATAATGATTTTTCTATACATAAACTTTGTAT